TTCCTAGGAGGTATACTAGTATTATTCATTTATATTACAAGACTAGCATCAAATGAAATATTTCAATTGCCCATTAAAACCATCATTATTAATTTCATAATATCTACCATTACTCTCCTAATTATAAATAATATATATAATCATATATTATCATTTCATATATATAAAAATGACTCCTTCATAAACAAAATAATTAATATTACAATAGATAATAATAACTTAAATCAACTCTACAATTATCCAAAGTTCATTCTAACAATTATTTCAATTACCTACCTCCTAATTACATTAATTATCATTGTAAAAATTACATCCTTCCAAGAAGGACCATTACGACTTTCAAATTCATAACTAATTAATAAACCTCTACGAACATATCACCCAATATTTAAAATTATTAACTGCTCATTAATTGATTTACCAACTCCATCTAACTGCTCAACATGATGAAACTTCGGATCCCTGCTAGGATTATGTTTAATAATTAAAATCATAACGGCGATCTTCTTAGCTATACATTACACCGCCGACATCAATATAGCATTTAATAGAGTAAGCCACATCTGCCGAGATGTAAATTTTGGTTCACTTTTACGAACAATACATGCTAATGAAGCATCATTCTTCTTTATTTGTCTTTATACTCACGTAGGACGTGGAATATACTACGGATCTTACAATTTAATACTCACTTGAATAACAGGAACTCTTATCTTATTTCTAGATATAGAAACAGCTTTTATAGGATATGTATTACCATGAGGACAAATATCATTTTGAGGAGCTACCGTAATTACCAATCTTTTATCAGCAATTCCCTATTTAGGGACTGATTTAGTTAAATGAGTATGAGGTGTATTTGCAGTTGACAACGCTACACTAATTCGATTTTTTACATTTCATTTCATAATCCCATTTATTGTCGCAGCATTCATAATAATTGATCTACTTTTCCTCCACCAAACAGGATCAAATAATCCAATAGGAATTAATATAAACTTAGATAAAATTCCATTCCATCCATACTTCACCTTTAAGAATATTATAGAATTTTTAATTACATTAATATCATTAACTATTCTATCACTTACAAATCCCTATTTATTAGGAGATCCAGACAATTTCACTCCTGTTAACCCCTTAGTAACACCAGTACATATTCAACCAGAATGATATTTCCTTTTTGCCTACGCCATTCTACAATCAGTTCCTAATAAATTAGGAGTAATAGCTCTAATTGCATCTATTGCCATTCTATTCACTTTACCTTTCATATCAAATAATAAATTCCGAAGAATACAATTTTATCCAATTAATCAAATATTATTCTGCACTTATTCATCTATTGTTATTTTATTAACTTGAATTTGCGCCTGACCAGTTGAAGAACCTTATCTCTTAACAGGACAAATTGTAACCATTAGATATTTTAAATACTTCATTATCAATCCCATAATATTTAAATTATGAGACCAATTAATTAAT